GAGGAACCTGAACAACTTTGAATCCTATCGACACACCAAGATGGAAGGCATCCATCTTCTAAGAAACTTGCTGCGCCCAGAGGATTGGTTCACTCGTCTAGACTTGAAGGACGCATATCTATCCGTTCCGGTCAAATCCGGATGTCAGCTCTTCCTACGCTTTGTTTGGAAAGGGAGGCTGTGTCAATTCACCTGCCTGCCCTTCAGCCTCAGCTCGGCTCCATGGTGTTTCACCAAACTGTTAAAACCGGTAACAGCATGCCTAATGCATTCGATGTCTGATATATCTGGACGATTTGCTTCTATTCTGCGAGGACATCTCCAGACTGAAATCTCAGACACTTTACATGGTCTCTTTGTTCGAATCCCTGGGGTTTGTGGTCAACCGATAAAAGTCAGCCCTCACACCAACGCAGGTAGTTCAATTCTTGGGATTCGAGATAGATGCGACCCAGTGCATCTTATGCCTCCCACAGGCCAAGATCACAGCCATTCGGAAAGAAATCCGACGGATCCTACGCCAAGAAATGATCCCACTCAGGGTCCTGGCACGAGTAGTGGGCCCCTTATCCGCATCAATCCAGGCCATCTACCCAGGACCCCTTCACTAAAGGGCCATGCAGCACCTGAAAGCACGCTTCCTACGCAGGAAACCCTCCTACAACCAGCCGATTCCCATAACGCAGGAAGTCAAGACCGAACTTTGCTGGTGGCTGTTGCACATGTCTGGAACGGCAAAAGCAATCTTCGGCCTGACTCCGGACTTTGTCCTGGATCCGGATGCGAGCCTATGGGGCTGGGGAGTGACTTGCACAAGCGCCTCCACGGGGGGCCCCTGGTCACGCACAGAGGCAGGATATCACATAAACTGCCTAGAAATTATTGAGGGCTCATTCGCAATACGGAGCCTTGCGGGTCATCTGTCGGATTGCTGCATCCTGCTGAGAATGGACAATATATCAACGGTACAACATATAAATCGACAGGTGTGTCGAACCTGACAGCGGACTGGTTCTCCAGGCACTGGAGGGATACCAGCGATTGGTGGCTACATCGACCGATCTTCCTAGAAGTGGCATGACGGAGGGGTCCATTCACGGTGGATCTGTTTGCCTCCAGAACGAACTTCCAGGTTCTGAATTATTTCAGCTGGCTCCTGGACCAGAAGTGCGCAGCAGTGGATGCTTTCCTTCAGGACTGGCCGTCACAGGGAGCCTATGCATTTCCACCATTCACTATGATCTCCAGGGTCCTACTCCAATTACGACGCCAACAGATATCGTTGGTGTTGCTGACACCCCTTTGGCAAGGTCAAGCTCGGTTCCCAGAATTACTGGAACTGTCATGTCAAGACCCGCTGCTCCTTCCGTCCACACAGACACTCATGTCGGACTCACGAGGCAACCATCACCCCCTCATGCTTGAAGGCCACCTCCATTTGGTGGCTTGGACTCTTTCCGGGGTACCTGGAATGTCAATGAACTATCGAGATCAGCTAGGACCCTTCTCTGGGACTCTTGGGCCCCAGGAACGAGGAGATGTTATTTGTGCGCCTGGAACACATGGTGTCATTGGTGCCTGGAATGGAGTATCGATCCCTTTACAGCACCTGTAGCCAACGTACTGAATTTCCTATCTCACCTCTTCAATCAAGGGAGGTCATATCATTCGGTTAACGTTGCCGGATCGGCCATTTCAGTAGCTTACGTTCCTCTCCAGGGGACGCCCATTGGACAAGACCCCTTGGTTTGTAGAGGTATCAGACTGAGAGGGATCAGACTGTCACGTCCACCGGCTCCTAAATATACATCCCTCTGGGACGTACACGGGTTTTGGATTTCATTCAGGAATGGCCGGAGAACAAGGATCTATCCCTATGACAGTTGTCGGCCAAATTTACTCTTCTTCTGTGCCTTGTATCCTTTCGTTGGGTTTCAGACGTCAGAGCTTTGGACGTTAACGCATTCACCTTCTCCCCAGACGGGGTGACCTTTTCGGTGTCGAGACGTACCAAGTCCGACTCCACTGCCATCTTTTATCCATATTTTCGAGAGGCTCCTAAGGTCTGTGTGGTTACTACGCTATCCCACTATGTGACTGCTACTGCACCGATTCAAAACCTCCAATCGGGGCAACTGTTGATATCATTTGTACGCCCTCATAAACCGGTTTTTCCCATTACCTTGGCTCGTTGGATCAGATGGCTATTGTCATTGGCAGGTGTGGACTCCTCTTTTGGTGCCCATTCGGTAAGGGGCGCGGCGGTGTCAGGAGCCCTAGAAGCGGGTGCTTCCCTTTCTGAAATTCTATGTTCAGCAGACTGGTCTCTAGAAGACACTTTTCGACAGTTCTATTTCAGAACGGCGGATCATGCATCTTTTACCTTATTTTCTGAGCGTTGAAACAGCAAATATGAAGCCTCCTGTAAAATTGTAGATTATGCTAGCTTTAGTGTACCTACAATCTTAATTTTATTAATGACAGAAGGCGAATATTTCCCACCCTGTTTTGTTCCCGACCATTGTTTGTATTTCTTACCTTGTATGTTGAGTATTAATAAAGAGATATGTTTCTGGTCTGTTATTCCTTCTGGTTATTTATTCTGGTATGTTTTTCATTACTGCGTAGGGCGTGGGGCCTGTAGCCTTGGTGGTGTTTCTATAATTTCCACTGGGTGGCTGCATGCTTTTATACGTACATTTCATTGGCTAATCACTTTTTTTCTTTTCTGTTTATCTCGTTTCAGTGTAAAGTTCACAGGATGAGATCAAGTTCAAGTTTTCGATTCGGTTGAAGTGGTCTATGAGAATCATTATTTCTGTCAGAGACGGACTGTTATTGTTATGTTATGTTTTTCTGTCTGTATTTGTTATCACAGCTTGAAAGAGGAAATGGAATGTTAAGAAGGGAGTTATATGGTCTCCTTACTGTTTTCTGATTGGTTGTTTACTCTCTGTATTATTTGCTGTGGAGTTCTAGTTACATAGTTACATAGGTTACATAGCTGAAAAGAGACTTGCGTCCATCAAGTTCAGCCTTCCTTACATTTGTTTTTTGCTGTTGATACAAAAGAAGGCAAAAAAAACCCAGTTTGAAGCACAATTTTGCAACAAGCTAGGAAAAAAATTCCTTCTTGACCCCAGAATGGCAGTCAGATTTATCCTTGGATCAAGCAGTTAATACCCTACATTGAAAGATTATATCCTTGAATATTCTGTTTTTGCAAGTATGCATCTAGTAGCTGTTTGAACATCTGTATGGACTCTGATAAAACCACTTCTTCAGGCAGAGAATTCCACATCCTGATTGTTCTTACAGTAAAAAAACCTTTCCTTTGCCTTTAGACGAAATCTTCTTTCTTCCAGTCTAAACGCATGGCCTTGTGTCCTATGTAAAGTCCGGTTTGTGAATAGATTTCCACACAATGGTTTGTATTGGCCCCGAATATATTTGTATAATGTTATCATATCCCCTCTCAGGCGACGTTTTTCTAAACTAAATAGGTTTACATTTGTTAACCTTTCTTCATAGCTGATATGTTCCATTCCTTTTATTAATTTTGTAGCCCGCCTCTGCACTTTTTCTAGTGCCATAATATCCTTCTTTAGAACATGTGCCCAAAATTGCACAGCATATTCAAAATGTGGTCTTACCAGTGATTTATAAAGAGGCAAAATGATATTCTCGTCCCGAGAATGAATGCCCTTTTTCATGCATGACAATACCTTACTGGCCTTGGCCACTGCTGATTGACATTGCACATTGTTGCATAGTTTGTTGTCTATAATAATTCCCAAGTCCTTTTCATGTGTTGTTATCCCTAATTCGCTTCCATTAAGGGTATACGTTGCTTGTGTATTCTTTACGCCGAAGTGCATAACTGCATTTTTCAACATTAAATTTCATCTGCCATTTGAGTGCCCAGTCCCCCAGTCTATCTAAATCCCTCTGCAGCAAAGTAATATCTTGCTCACATTGTGTTATTTTACAAAGTTGTGTGTCATCTGCAAACACTGAAACATGACTTTCAATGCTGTCTTCAAGATCATTTATAAATATGTTAAATAGAAGGGGTCCCAGAACAGACCCCTGAGGGACACCACTTGCCACCTCTGTCCAGCTTGCAAATTTACCATTAATGACAACTCTTTGTACTCTGTTTTTAAGCCAATGTTCTACCCAAGAACAAGCATTTTCCTCTAGACCAATTTCCTTGAGTTTGAACACTAATCTATTGTGTGGAACTGTATCAAATGCCTTGGCAAAATCCAATTAGATCACATCCACTGCAACACCCTGATCTATACTTTTACTTACTTCTTCGTAGAACACAATCAAGTTAGTTTGACATGACCTGTGCTTCATAAAACCGTGCTGGTTTTTGCTGATAACCATTGTGGTGAAACCGACCTCGCCACTAAGCATTGGAGAGGAC